TGATCGCTCAAGCTTGGGTGTGCTTAATGAACTGTCGGGGCGGATGCGCTGGCAGGCATTGGAGTCTCTATAACTATACAAACCTTGTGTTTTTTTGGAATAATGAGTTAAATATATTCAGAAATTTAGAATTTTACTTAGTGAATTCGCAAAATAATTCACGTTTTTCATAAAAATATAATCTTACAATGGATATTTTCTAAATTTTAAACTTGCATTTAAAAAAACTCCATTCAGTGCTATAATTACGATTTGAGTTTTCGAGTTTATAGAAACACAAGCATTAATTATGTATATAATTCTTGATATTATTCTAAATTAAGCATTGATATTAAACTTAACTACATTTTGCTCATAAATAACACATCATTTTATATATTTTATCCTCAAAAAGAACTTTTGGGTCATTCCATTGAAAAGAGGAAAACGACATAAATTTAAATATGCCGTAATTATCTCTATTTCTGTAGTAACCTTATTTTAAAAGACTGCATTTCATTAATTTGTTGGAAAATATTAAAAAAAACAAAAGTTGTAATTTTTGTCTATGGAATCTTTTATTTCAAGCATAATTACTTTACACCAGTCACAAGGGGATGTCCCACCAGTCACAACTTTAAATATTTTTTAATATTTCAATGAAGTTTATATAAATATAATTTTTTATTGAAAACGAAAGCGTATAATTCATATTTTACATCACAAAAACATCGTTCGAGAAGATTATTTTGGCTAAAATTCATCATTGAGTGCACAAGGGTGAAATAAAGTTCTCTTAAGTGTCACATTCATTCAAATGATAGTTACATAAAACTAAGAAATCGTTTGGTATTTTCGTTAAAGCAATTTTATACATTACTTATGGTTCTATATTAAAAAATATCTTTCCCTGTTGTATAAGTTCCGACGACATAGTTAAATAGTATCACAATTGATCACATTCTGGAGTAAAATGTCTCACCAGCCACAATGGAATGGCCCTTTTTCTAATCATGAGGCGAAATTCCCCACAGTAGATAAGTGTTGCCGTGAGCGCAAAACGAAAACGCTGCACACAACCCAAAAGTACTCCTCGGGGACCAATCGGTGAAAAATAACGAAAAGGTTTGTTACTGTATATACTGTGCTTTCGTTTCCCTACCGCTCACCAGATAGTGATAGTGAAAATTCTATTTCACTACCACTATGTAGTGCTAGTGAAATTTGAAATGCACTATCACTAACCATATAGTGCTAGTGAAATTTGAAATGCACTACCACTAACCATATAGTGCTAGTGAAGTTTGAAATGCACTATCACTGAAGCCCTAGGGGTAGTGAAAATCTNCTAGTGAAATTTGAAATGCACTACCACTGACCATATAGTGCTAGTGAAGTTTGAAATGCACTATCACTGAAGCCCTAGGGGTAGTGAAAATCTCTATTTAGTGCAGCGTGCCCAACCCTGGTAGCCAGCCGCATTAACGCATACTCGTGTTGTAATTGGAGACTAGGGATGTTGCGAATGTGGAATTTTAGACATCCGCGGATGCGAATGCGGATGCGGATGTCAAATACAGTGAAAGCTGCAATACGCGGACACCGATGGTCACCTTTTTTGTCCGCCTATGAGAGATGTCCGCTTATAGGAATTTCGTAAAAAAAAAAAATAAAAATTCATACTAAAAAAATTGAAATCGCGGGTTTCTAAATTAAAATAATATTTATTCTTCAATAGACAGAAATAGGGTGAATTAAAAATACATTCAAATTTATTGCGTTTTCTTTCCTACCGACAAATCTCAGTGCCCATTGGCAACGAAAAGGCAAGACTTTTTCTAGAAAAGAAAATATTTTTGAATATGGGCTATGTTTTTGTGTACATACCCATATGTAGAAGCGCAAGTCAACATTTGACTGAAAAACAAAAGAAAATTGACCGCTTGTTAGAGCTTCGCGTCCGCTTATGGGAGAGTTTTTTTTCATAACTGGACATTTTTGAGTGTCCGCGTCCGTTTATCGGAAAGTCCGTGTATGGGAGAGCATTTTGTATGGAAAAAAAGCCAAAACTTGTTCGTTCCCAAGAATGTGTCCGCTTATTAGAGCGTCCGTCTAAGCGACCTTTCACTGTATTTTAAGAAATATTTTTTGGTGAGTACATTAGGTGATTTAGGTAAAAAAAAGGAAAATTTAGTAATTTTTAATATTTTTTTAATTTAGTACTTTCAAAAATTGGCAGTCATTTTGCTGCTTTTTCGGGTTACAGCCTGTTTCCTAAGGGGTCGTAAATCAAACCTGCGTCATTAAATAACTACTCGCTCGAGGCGACAAACTTGAAAAACTTGAAACTTTACAAAAATGTAAATCCTTTTCGATTGACGCTGCACCAGTTGAGAAGACTTTAGTTTTTTTTTTTTTGTGGTTTAATAATTCGAGAATTGCATCGGGGCTGCAAATTTCGGATGTATCCTCCAGAATTTCATCTTCACAATCTAGCATTATGGCAATATTGCTGTTTAAACACCGTTGTTTTCCAATTTGGAGAACCAAGTCTTTTGGTTGTTTCAGAATTTGGAGAACCTGTTACGACATCAGCAGTTATCGATTTTCGTTTTTGTAATTCATTTTTAATCCTGTCTTCTGTGACTGGTTTGAAAAATGTGTACTTATAGCGTCGCGACGTTGTGAATAGGTGGATATGGCTAATAAATTGTTATTTTGTAGGAATGAAAATTTCGAAGAAAATTCTGTTTTGAAAGTCGTGGCTGCCAGCAGAATTAGTTTGAAATCTTGTAATTTTGTTTAAAAGGTACCCCGTTTTTTATAATAATTTCAATTATTGGAATCACGGACGATAAAGGTCTCAGATTTGCTTAATTCCCGGGTGACCTTTTGGAAAGGTTCACCTGTAATGAACAGCTTGTAATTAGTTTTTTTATTAGTTAGCTGAGCATGGCTTTTACTAGTTTCAGGCAGTTACAATTAATTACTCACTGGCACTGTCGGTACCATAAGCCATCAAATCCGTTTTGTTGTTCCATTCCATGCGCTCAATGTGTTTTGATATATTTTTGGGGCACTTGCACAATATTCGCATTCGCAAAAGTTCCGCATTGATTATTGCGAATGCGAAAGCGAATGCGAATGTTAAAATTTGTGCGGAAGTTCCGCGGTTGCGAATGCGAATGCGAATATTTGCAACAACCCTGTTGGAGACTATCCGCACTCCATGCAAATAATTGCGGTGTGTACGGGCAATGCACTGCACGCAAAGTCGTGCCCGTGTCTACGATGGACACGGCGTAAGACTAAATAATTTTCCGCCAACCATTTACAATTTACAAAAGCAAATTGCATTTTGTTGTTCCCAGCATTAAACGGGGACATATTGGTTGTAAACAGGGATACGGGGACAAAGGGTCCGAAACGAGGATATGTCCCTGGAAACGGGGACGTATGGCAGCCCTAATCTAGATGCATTTCTGCATCAAAAAGACAATTTTCAAAAAAATGTCGCCTGCGTTTTTTAGTGTTTAGGGCTCGATATGTAAATATCTGTAAAAATAAAAAAGTTTTTTATTGGGAGCGGGAGTGGAGCAAGAGCGGAGCTCGGAGCGAAATAAAGTAACGGAGCGGAGCGATGCGAAAAAAACCTTTGCTCCGAATCCCTGAAAAATATACTTACCAAAAATAAGGAAATATGCAGATGTGCAAAAAATATGCAAATATGCATAGGCGTAAATCTTCTTCATTTTCAAAGCAACGAATTTCTGTCTTGGTCCGGGATCTCTTGGATGGCAAACAAAAATATGCAATTTCATAAAATTCCGATGTCTAATAATAACAAATTTTATAATAGAAAACAGCTCAATTTTGGTTTTTATATTAAAATATGTAGATGTCAAAGTACCAAATTACTGGCAATATTTATCAAGATAAAAGCTCTGATAATTATTGCTTGCCAAGAGCAATATGCGGTCTCCATTGGCAAAATATTGCCTGATAACATTATCAAGATAAAAACCTTTGCCTGTAGAGACATAAAGTTATGCATTTACAATTTTTTTGCAAAGAGTTCTTTATTAAATAAGCAACGTACAAACATACATACTTACATATTAAAAATAACGGTTTCACTTTATACACAAACCATAATTACATATAAATATAAAAATATTCACATGCTTTCTGCCACAACACAGGTAGTATCTATTATTTCATCAAGGGATAGACAGGAACCTAAAAGCTCGCTTAAGTGCAAATTGTTAAATACCCGAATTGGGGTGATAAATATTATTTTCTTTTTTAACTTAAATATGTAAATAAATGCAGCAAAACAGCCTTTCGGTTAGGTTGAGCTTTCAAGTTTTTCGCCAAGGAATCGTACAAAAGATTAGTCAAGCAAAAATAAAGCCGGGGTTTCCAAATATTTTTTCCAAACATTTGAAAACTTGGCCATGCTAACACCATCAATAATGCGATGATCTGCACACCAACTGATGTTCATCACGTAAGATTTAATAATTTCATCATTTTCATTGAATCGCGGCACAGCCTAGGAAAAAAGGAACTGCATTAGATGATTATTAGGATATTTAATATTAATAAGAATAAAACATTTTGTACGTTAAATGAACCATATTTTTATACAAAATTGGCGGAAAAATATTAGAATAAAAATTGTTGCATATATAGTGAAAAATTTGCTGTGCCAATACTTTGTTCCGGCAGTGTATGTTTTTGAGAAAAATACACAGTAGTAATTTGAAAATTTCAAAATTACATTTCTCAACTGAAAAATAAGATATTCGAGCTAACTCGACGGCACACAGTGTGCCATTTTAACCAAGGGATGAAACCGATTCAAAATATCATTCCGGTTTAGGTTTCGGTTTTGCAAAGTGTTTCGGTTTCGGTTTTGGTTTCGTTCTTCAAAATTTGTTTCGGTTTCGGTTTCGTTCCGGTTTCGGTTTTGGAATAAAGAAATTAAAAAAGTTTGACAAAAAAAAATTATTTATTAAATAAATAAGGTACATAAGGTTTGCTTTTGGCGAAATTAAACATTGTGATTAATTTTAGTTTATATAAAGAAAACACCTCTGAATCAATTATACAAACTAATAACTATATTCCACCACATTTGCTTAGATCTAAATGCAGAAATTTGTTTATTATATTATTTGTTATATAATGAGAGTTGTTGCTGATAGTATTTGATATACATACATATAAGTGCAATTCTCACACAAAATATGTTGATATTATAATATAACAATAATCGTTTGTTTAAAAAGGGTCACATCTTACTCGCAAAAGCTAATAAATTTATTTAAATATTTGTAGCCTATACAATCGATTAGTTCTTATCAATCAAATCGAATCCACTACATTTACACTACTATTTAAATTTGCCCTCGTAGGTGTCATAATGAATTTTAGGCCATAAAACATCCTTTCAACACTGACCTGGTTGCAGGAACAGTTAAAACTATTTTAGCTAACTGAGCTAAGTGCGGTTTCCGCGAAGACTCATTTTTCCAATATTGTAGAACATCAATACCTCGTTCTTGCCGTCTTTGATTGGCAAAGGCCACTAACGGCGCGTTTACATAGGACAATGCTGTCAAGACAATAAATAAATACGTATTAGTTGTCAAAAACTCTGATAATTGTCTCCAAGACGTAGGAGTCCTGACAATAGTTAAGCCAATTCATTTTGAGCAAAATGTAGAACGTGAACGTTGAATTATAATTTGCAGAAATACGCATTTCGCACGAGCTATTTGAGCTATAAACTAAAAACATAAAAAAGAAGGGACGCAATTACATACACACCAGCGTCCCCTTAATTCTTATATGTAGTTACTTTGTTATGAATTTATCTTCTTTCTTGCACAAGACGTCAAAATTATTTTCTGCATACGTCAAATCATTGTCCGATTTACTGTCTTCAAAATATTCAAGACAGTGATTGAGGGATTGAAGAAGTATGCATGTATTAGTGAAAACGTGTGCATGTGTTGCTATTGTCATGACCAGGGAACGGATTTTTAGGACCTATAAAAAAGGCAAAATAAAATAACGGAATAGGCTGGAAAAGGCAAAATAAAATAGCGAAAAAGGCAGGAAAAGGCACTAGGTATTGCAAAAAAGGCAAAAAAAGGCAAAACAAAATAGCGAAAAAGGCAGGAAAAGGCATGAGGTATTGCAAAAAAAGCAAAATAAACCACTAAAAAAAGACAGCAAATACGAAGAACAATCAAAAAATACATTTATTTTAGAAATGTTTAAATTACAAGTAACAAGTAATTTTTAGCAAAAAAAAACCGACTTCAACTCATATAAAATATATATATATATATATATTTCTCATGATCCGCTGATCGGATCTTAACCAGATTAGTATGGGACCACCTCTGAGACACTGCCTTTCCGATGCAAAAAGAATTATCGAAATCGGTTGACGTGGTCCAAAGTTATGCGGTAACATACATAAAAAAAAAAAAGTAAGAAAGTCTAAGTTCGGGCGGAGCCGAACATTAAATACCCGGCGCAAGTATTAAATATATGTTTTTTCACCCTTCCGAAACCTTCCGCTAGATGGTAAGTATCAATTTTGAGTAAATTAGCGTCCTTCAATATAAATCGAATCGAAATATTGAAGTTTCAAGCATTTCTTAAATTTACCGTTATATGAGAATCGGCCGTTATTTTAGTCCGATTTCAATAATTTTCAACGTTTTGCTTACACGTGGCAAGTACAATAACCATACCGAGTTTGGTACAAATTGGTAGAACGGTTAC